AAAAAATTTACACATCTGCGGCATTTATACATAAAAAGCATTGTTTTCAAAACAATCTTTATACGAGGGTAATACTTTTTTTTTAAATGTTAAATAAAAACATTATTGCAGCGATAAATCGATAAATTTTTCATATTAATTTTGATTGTTGAGTTAACCATCCATTTGAAATCAAAGTAAAAATGCAGTGTCCGAATCGAAATAATTTTTGTTATGTATGTGGTTTATTTGTACCTCCAAGCCATATGCGAAATATTACAAAAAGTGTAGTAACAGCTTTTGAAGACTATTTTTTGGTGACGTATATACCAAACTTATGGTATGTACCATAGGTTTTATGCGATTATTGTTACCGTTGTTTGCATGGATTGCAAGATAAAACACACAGTATGAAATATGTTGCTAATTTAGCTAATTTGGCTTCGACCCGTCGCGACGTACCGAACACGCATCTGACCAGTGTTATTTCTGCATGTCAAAATTAAAAAGTTTTGGATTTCGGTACAATACTGAAAAGAAAATTGATTACGCCGATGTAGAATCCGTCATTCTCGCAAGAGTGCGATCTGAAGATTACCCAACTGCTCCTTCAGAAAACATATGTGAGGATAAAAGTAAAAGACCTTTAACACCCAGTACAACCATTTTTTCCGAGATGGAATCTGAATTTATTCCCTGTAGTTCGGGTTATAAAGTACATTTTATAACACAGGACATGAAAGTACATATGTCACTGAAAATACATTTTCTCCATGCTCATTTGGACTATTTTCCACCAAATTTGGGCGATTTTAGTGACGAACATGGCGGACGTTTTCACTAAGACATTTTAACAATTGAAAAACGCTTCAAGGGAAAAGACATCAGGCATTTGCTGGGTGAATATTGCTGGTCAATTGTTCGAGATTCTGAAGCAATATACATCCTGTTCAGAATAAAACCGAATATATCTATATATATATATATATATATGGGGCGTGGCCTCGCCTCTCTCCAAGGCGCGTCACGGTTGCTTGTGTGATAAACGACATGACGAAAGGAAATAATGCAAAAAATCTCATTAGCGATGCAGTCTATTTGCTTAGCTACTGTGTCGCGCGTTGGAGGGAGGCGAGGCCACGCCCCATATATATATAGATATATTCGGTTTTAGTCTGAACGAGCTGTATAATCGTCAAACTAAACGACCAAGATTTTATTCCAACATGTATTGAATATATGATAAATACAAAAATGTGTTTCATTAAAAAAATAAAAAAAAAAATATTTAAAAAAAATCAAAATATAAACTTTTTTTATATTTGTTTTTTGTATTGTGTAAAAACATACAATATTTACAAAAATATTGTATATTTTTAACCGAGTAAAAAATGTACAATCTGTATAAGCATAAATAATAGGAATGACGGCTTAAAATTTTTTTATGACGTGATCTCGTGAAACTGTGAGACACGGGTACGTTTTTTTTACCTCTATTTTCAAAATCTGCTAAAATTTTTCATGGGAGGGAAATCGTGTTGTACTGTGTAATATTTTAAAGTTGAATATTTTATTTTTTGTTGATGTTTTGAGCTAAACTTTTTGCATTTAAATTAAAATGTCAGAAACATCAATCAAAATTTTCTGTACAAAAATATAAATTTAAGTTATAAAACTGTTTTGTTAAACTATGATACAGTGTTATATTTAATAAATAAATAAATAATTCAAATAATACTTTGTTGTTGGCCGAAAACGATTAAATAAATTAGTTACTTTTAACTCTCAGAAATAGTCAAAGATGGTGACTAACCTTAAATTAGTCAAACTAACTATTTACGTAGTAAAAAATAACTATTTAAAAGTAAAAACGACTATTTTATTAGTAAAAAATGCTGGTACTAATTCAAATAGTAGAATGTTGACTATTTTATTTTTAGAGAGTAGACTGTATAAAAATGCCAGCGCTCCTGTGGCTTGGAAATACTATATGTATGTCTTTATCTTTACATTGATGACGTATGGGTCAACTTATAAAAATTCAACTATAAAATTCATCTGTTATCTGTCTATTATTAATTTTTTAAAGAAACTTCAAAAACATATAATTTTAACAACCATATTATATAAAGCTCATGTTTTTTATTTGGTTAACCAATTAACAAATTTGTTTCCATAACAACCGCTATAAGATTTATGGTTTCAATTTAACATTTTTAGTTAAATAAGGGTTATCAATTTATTTTATCAATAAAAAAATAATGTGCTAAAAAATTAATTTTTACTGTTTATTTTAAGATAATCTTTTGACCTAGACTATCCCACCCCATTCCACACTTGAATAACTCTTAATAAATGTATGATTAAAAGTCTAGTTTTGCAATAATTCTAAACATGTTACCGACAAGTATTTATTACTTTGGCAACAATAAAAAAAAAAATCAGAAAACTCATTATCGTGATTAAAGCCCATTATAACTCACTGCAGGTAAAATGCGTGTTGGAAGTCACGTCTTCACGGTACACAATTAAAATGGAACCTTTCGGCAAAGAAACCATAATACTATTTTATTAGGTAATTAAAGTGTGTTATTAATAAAAGGTTTTCCAAAAATATTCACAAAAAAATATTCTTAACTAATCAGGGAGTTTAGTTTTGAATCGTTTTATCTCGCTTCCTATTGGTCGGACAAAAGAAGCGTTGAAACAAAAAATGTGCAGCTTTAAATTTTAAACATAATTGTTATAGGTAAAACTTACTGTATTTAGTTCCAAAAAAACATAGAAGGCTACAAAGTTACCAATTTTTTTTAATATATTTTGATATTAACGATTTTTGTATTTTAGTCTAGCCATAAAGTTTCACAACCCTTAAGTATTTCAATGATGTTGATTTAACGTAATTTTTACGAAAGAAAATTACTTATAGGTTATTTTATATCAAGGGATTTTTTACGTAATTTACGTAATTTAACGTAAATATTTTCATTCTTAACTAAATTTTACTAACAAGTCCTATTTTTACTATATTAAAAAATATAACTAAAAGGCTAATTTTTTTGAAAGACGCCATATTAAATTATTAAAGATGTCATCCATATTACAAAACAATAATTAATAAATAATATATTTTCCAATCATTGCGAAGTTATTCAAATTAAATGATTTTTTAAGGCTTTATACAGGGTGCACCAATTGGTGTATCCTCATTATGATCTTATTTTTATTTGAAGGTTAAATTAGACAAAAGTTCCCTAATTAAAAGTATATTAAAATGGCATTTAAAAATTGGAAAAACAGTCGGTTTTCAATTAATTTGAAAAAACTAAAAACCTGTAAAATCCAAAAATCTTTATAACTTCGTTATTCCTGGACATTTTTGCCTACTAGATTTTGAGATACCACCACCATCTTTTATTTTTCTTATGGCCACCATATTGGAATTTATGAGCCATAACTTATGGCGTCCAAAAAATTGGATGAAAATGTAGATTAATATGTACAAATGTGAAACATACTTTGTTTTAAAAATAACTAAGTTATAACGAACTTTGGCTTTGAAGGGTTTTTGGTTTCTTTTCAAATAATTTGGAACAACTTTTTTATCTAGCATTTTAATCAACTTTAGACTCTAAAGTTTAGAGGGTCAAAATAAAAAAAAAATTAATTAATTAGGCACAAAATAAAGTTTTGCCTGTAAAAAAATAGGTATATTAAAAACAAGGAAGTTTTTCTATGTTAAAATACCCTATATACACATATATTTATATATACTCTATTATATTTTTTAAATTACTAGATATGTACCTACCTTATTTTTTTAATGATGATTATATTTACACCGTTCAGTTGAAAAACCTCCCCAAAATATTTGTATAACCCCTGTATAACAAAGATCGATTTTTTTACAGGTTAAAACTTGTTTCATCCATCCATATAATTAATCGTAAATTTTAATCACCATCCTATGAGTCAAAGTGATAACATTTAAAGAATTTTTCGAATCTTTTTAAGAATTTAAATCTTTAAACAAATAATCCACCTAATTTAAATTCTACAGAAACTCTATAGAATGTTCCTATTTTTTATGACGAGTTTTTAAAAACCTCCCTAAAATATTAATATATAAAATACCCCTGTATAACAAAAATCGATTTTTTACAGGTTTACTTGTTTCATCCATCCATATAATTAATTAATCGTAAATTTTATATCACCATCCTATGAGTCACATTAATAAAATTTAAAGAATTTTTTCGAATCTTTCCAAGAATTTAAATCTTTAAATAAATAATCTACCTAATTTAAATTCTATAGAATGAATGTGAGTACGGTATTTTCCTTTATCAATTAAAAAATTAAAATTAATAAAATATAAAGCCATAGGAAAATTTCCTTAAACTTGAACGTATATTAGGTTTTAAAATCAGGCCATATTAATCAAGTTTCAAATTAACTGGATAAACATTTTGTATTTACTGTTTCACTGTTTTTGACAGCTTTACGACACTTCTTAAACTGACGTAACGACAGTTTAAGAAAATTTTGGACAATTTTTAACCATTGGCTATAAAAGAGCGATATGTATTAAAGTTTTTTTGTTCCTTTTAAATATGTAAAAAATGATAATAACATTCTTAAGAAATCTATCAGGAAGGCCACAAGCCTTGGGGCTAAAGTATGATGCAAGCTTACGCAATTTTACGTACTTTTAGAGATTTTAAACACTTTTAAGGTTGTTTAAGGACATTAAACATATAAGACAGCTTTAAGTTGGTTTTAGTACAATTTTAATAATTTTTTCTAGATTTTCGTAAACATTTCTTAAACTTGCGTTGGGCGTCGTATGACGCAATTTTACGTGCATTTTCACGTGTACCATCAGTATACCAGAACTACCACTAAGATTAAATTAAAAAAAGAAGGAAAACTTTAGCGGCGTGTGATTGGTCGAACCGAGACGGGCCCTATATATCCACGCGGGCCCGCCCCGGCAAATCCATTCATACTTTGTTCATTCACCAGCGAGCAGTAAAAGTGATCTTACGCTAACAGTATTATTAGTGAGTTAAAAAAGACACCTTTGAAATCTTTGTTGTAAATCGTCAAAAGTTACCAAAATCATGAAATCTACGGTGAGTAATTTTTTTTTGTATCTAGTTACCGGTGCATGGCATTCGTTCCGAGAAAAACCATATCTACTGCAGTAGGCCACGTTTTGTGGTTTGTGGAAATGTGCATGGCTTGCTGGGATTTTTACGGAATTATCCCGATAAGAAGAACTAAGCGGTTATTTCAAGTTTTTAATTAATTTTTAGGGATTTTCGTTTTAGAAAATGCCGGTAAAGCACATGTCAGCCCTTTGGAACCACATTGCATTTTTTTATTATTCTTTAAAGGGGCTTTTGATTGTTCTAGAACATCTTAGGATTCATACAGTTTTATGTTTTTTTTGTAAGAGACTTTGATTATTTTTTGGTTTGGAAAAAATATTTTTTTAATTATTTCTATTTCTAACTTTATTTAGCGAAATTGGAAGTTTTTTCATGTTTTTGAAATACAACTTTGTCCAAAAATTAATTTCCATTAATTTTGTTGGGACATTTTTAGACAGTTTTAAAATATTTTAAACTTTTTGGCGCATTTTTAAATGCCTGATGACATAAATTAATCACATTGTTTATTTTAATTTTTTATCTCATCGTTGTATGCAATTAAAAATCGAAATTCATGTTTATTTTTAAGTTTTTAGATCAAATGTAATTGACCAATATAATATTGGCAATATCCATATCTTTACAAAAGTATTCCTGTAAAGTTTATTAATAATGCTTTTTAATTTTTTATCGAAAAAAAAGAACATTGACGTCAAACGCCTGATTAGGTATTTAAAATTTATATCTTTTTAAAATTTGTATTTTTCTGTGTAATTACTAAAAATTACACTTTCACATAAATTATTTAATTATAGTTAACTAGGTATATTAAACAAAATTTTGTCGAAAAATGTATGAGGTGGTAAAACTTCTTAAAATATTAAAAATATTATATAAACAACAAACGAATCCTAAGAGAGCTGGAGCCCTTAAAAGTCCGTCTCTGATTTTTTTCTAAATATTTCCAAAAGTTCGTCAATGCATTTTTTAATTTTGAGAAGTTAGGTATGTATTTAAAAAATTAATGACCTAACCCAAGGTGCACCAGAATCCGGTGACCAGATAGATTATTAACTGGTACCTGTACCATAAAAATAACTTTAAGAAATTATATTATTAACTTTTTAAAATAAAATGCATTGGGGAAGTAATTTTTTAAATAAAAAAATGCCCATATGCAAAATTACAAAATCAACACAGTGAAGAAATGGTATATACCATTTCCCCACTATTTAATTTTTTAAATAAAATAAATAATGATATACCTACATACATATGAAAGTTTTTTTACAAACGCCATTTAACGGACAAATCAACCCATTTTATACCTCATTAAATTTATAAAACATCATTTCGAAATCCAATTTTGTATTATTAGGTATACCTACATTGACTGACGTTTGTAGAAAAAAATATCTATGATTATAAAGGCCAATTTTTTGTAATTAGAATATGATACATCGTACTTATTGGAAATATACTAAAAATATCCCACAACAGGTGACAAATTACCCATTTTTTAATCTCGAAACTATTATAATTAGCTGTTGGACACCTGATCAAACGATCCGTTTATATAACCAAGCGTAAAAAAATTCGGATAGGTCAATTTAAGGGGGGACAAAAATACTTTTATTAGTTTTCATTACATTCTTACAATTATTTAAGAGCAAAGTTTTCTTTAAAATATTTTTTCTACTCCCACCTTTAAATCATGACATGACAAGTTGTGGCTTTATGGCGCTTTAGTCACGGGCTGAAGTTAGTTTTAAGTTAGTTGACAGTTGTCAAATGTCATACAATCGTTAAAATAAAGTGCCTTTCTTGTAAAATAATACTAAATGTGAAAATTATTTTATTATCTCAATACAAAAGTATTAAATAGTTTCTCAACGCCAATATTTGAAAAGTTTATATGAACATTGTACTGACCTTTTAATTTCGCCGGCAATAAACTATAACTTAAATTCGGGCACGGACTCCACTGTAAAGTGCTCATAAAACATTTTCTTTACTTTCACTGTAAAAAACTGTCAATTTTCAAGAAATACATTTCGATTTATAACCTTAATAATTATGTTTATTAAATATAAAAATTTAACATTTGACGGTGACACACAGATTCCCCTATTGTTTCATAGATGGCGCTCTATACAAATTTTTGATTTAAATCATTTTAAGATAATAATAAGTATTTGTCGTAGAAAAAGTATAGTATGCACCTCGTTTATAAACTTTTTTATACTCATTAATTTAAGCACTCGCTCGCAAGCTTGCTCGTGCCTAAATTAAATTCGTGTATAAAATGGCGTTTATCAAACTTGATATATAATATACTATTATCTACTCCTATTGAAGAGCTGTGACTTTATGGCGTTTTAGTCACGGGCTTAAGTTAGCTTTATTATAATTGCAAAAAGTGAGGTTAAATTTTTCAAATGTCAAATATTTTTAAATTAAAATTGGCTTCAAATTCTTATTTCTGTTCGTCGTAGATAAAATATAGTATGCAACTCGTTTTATAAACTTCTCTAGACACTCGTTTTTATTAAACACTCGCTCGCAAGCTTCGCTCGTGCCTAATAAAACTTGTAACTAAAATGGCGTTTATAGAATTTGATACATAATATACTATTATGTACTTCTATAGAAAAAAAATTGGATTTTACCTAATGAACTCAATATTCACGTTATTAGGCATCAGTGATTGGCCGATTCCAATATTTACTGTGAATCGGGTTTTAAATTTAGAGAAGGCGACTATAATAATATTTAAAATTGGTAGAAAGTGAGGTTAACCAAATGGTTAAATGGTCAAATGGCAGATGTCAGATTTTATTTAATTATTTTTAAAAATCATTTATTTATTTACTAATTGGAGTAGATTATTTACTCAAATGATTTGCGTCTCTCGTCTGGCTATTCGAGTCGCAAACCTCATCCTGGTAAATAATAGCCTGCATTATCTCTCGTATAATATACTGTCATCTAGTAGGTATTTAATTCCAAAAAAATTGACATTTTTAATAATGTAATGTAAAATGCCCCCTTAATGTGACTATTTCGGTACTTCGCGGAAAATAAACGGTTTGAAAAAGATCCAAGTCGCGTTTTCTCGTGTGTGAAAAAATTTGTCGATCTAGCAGACTGTATGGTGCCAGCAGAGGTTCTGGGAAAACTTGATTACATAACAGAGGACTCAGCACATATCCCATATAATTATAATTTATAACATATATTAAGTATGAATCATCGATCTAATGCGTTTGGAATGTTGTTTTATTATATTAGAGTTATTTTTTTGCTATTAAATTACAATGTTAAATTAAATATACAGGGCGGATAGAAAGTACCTACTGTGATTGCATCTTATGAACAACCATCAATATGAAAAGTACAAAAGCCAAATTTTATTTGCAAAATACTTTTTTATAAGCGTTTAATAATTTTGTGCTTACATTGGAATCTTCAGTTTCAGACTTTTTGTCATAAGTAGATAATGTTGTCGTTTGATATTATAGGTTATGTGCATGAATTTATTCTACAGTGACCTGTAATTACAGTTACCTACACTAATGCAATATATGGAACCTCTCTTCCTATGTAATTTTCATTATTGTACGGCGGTGTATTAGCTATTTATGCACCAAGGGTTTTATTAAGATGTCGCCAGTAACGCCAGTGCATATAAGATTTTATTTTTTGCTTCATATAAAACATATCTCGTATCCAAGGCGTTATAACAAAATAATGTTGTTAGCTGTTCACCTAAGTGAAAAATAAAATAATTTGACTTTTAAACTGCGTAAAAATATATAAGTAGTATTAAGGAACTTAAACCTGGTTAATTTTTTTTTTAAATATCGGGCCAATTTGTTTACATTTCATCGGTTTGGAAGAAACCTGTCGGACATATAAAAACACGAGCAAAAATACCGATTAAAAGAAAAATTAATAAAACATTTATGCTTTATTTTATTTGCGTTATTTAATTTTTTTCTAATTAAATATATTAAATTTATCGAAATTTTTCGGACAAATTGGGCCAAATGCATGTACCGTTCTAAAAAAAATTACCAAAAAGTTTTTTTACATGTATTTTAAAATATACGTTCTGTAATATAATTTTTCTACGACACATTTCGTCATGGCATCGTTAGAAAATGATTATTTTCATTGGCAAGGCAAAACTCGAATGTAAAGTGACATTTCTGTGTGAAAAGTGACAGGTCTGCTTCTATATCGGATTAAAACGGTTGTTAGTCCGTTTTCAAAGGATAAATTTTGCTTTACCAAGAAAAATTTGACGTTTGCCGTCGGTAATACAGATTCCCATTTTTACGGTTACTGTATTTTAGTAAAGATGTCGCTCTATACAACTATTTAAATTAAATCGTAGATTTGTCGTAGAAAAAGTATAGTATGCACCTCGTTTATAAACTTTTCTATAGACACTCATTTAATTAAGCCTTATTTAAATTCGTAAATAAAATGGCGTTTATCAAGCTTAATACATAATATGCTATTAAAATGTTATTTTCGTGTTGGTATTACAAAAAACAAAATACCAGCAATAGGTATGTTGGTATAATGTTACGCATTTAAAATCAAGTAAACAAAAATATTAAAAGGTATTTATCACAAATTCTTTTCATTAATTCACGCTATGCAAAAATATTTGTTTAAAATTTAGTTTATGATTGCGAATGCATTTTTTTCATTTATAATTCATGATGAATGAATTGTAGATTTAGTTCTATTTTTATACATTTTCTTGTATTTTATTTTTCATTTGGAGTTATATTTTATTTGTTTTAATAAAAAGGACTTTTTATGCTTTGCAACGAAAGGATATTTATTTTATATCTATTTGAATATTGCTTCAAAGAATCCAATTATTTTTACCTTATAACTTTTATAAAAGAACGAGTTTTATTTTGGAGCATTTAAATTGTAGAAAACAGTATATTAAAAATTAATTACTTTATAAAGAAAATTTATTTTTAAGAAAACAAATTTTTAAAGCAAACTTTTGTTTTCAGATGCTTGTATCAGTATTACTGGCCTTTCTATTGGTCCAAAACTCTCACTCGAAAAACCTACCGCTAGACGAAGTGGACGACATGTCCAACGAGTTGACGCCCAGCTTTTTCCCAAACTACTATGACGCCCCTAAAAGGACGACGCCCGAGTGGGTGAAAATCCGACAAGCGCCAGAACCGGTGGTGTTCAAATCTTACGGTTCCAAAGTTGAATTGGAATGCACCGCCATGGGATCACCGCCTCCTACCATACAGTGGTACAAACATAACACCAAGTTAACAGAAGTAAGTGTCAAGATATCATATTTCGACAGTTAAAATGTCACATACGCTAAAGAAGCATCGCTAGTAGCGCCACCACTTTATCATCGTCACCAGAATTCAGCTTTTAGTAAGCAGCTGTCAGACGCGTATGTTTCAGAAAATTTTAAAAATATCGAAAGTTTCCCAATAAACAGTGGAAATTCGAATGAAGAAATAAATTGCATGAATGATTTACGTGAAAATTGTAAACATTGCAATTCAGTAAAAATCATAAAACAAATAAGTCATCTTAATTCAAACAGCATTTAGCATTATTAAAAGCGTTGATTAAGAAAGTCTCCACTCAACAGTAAAATACCCAGAACCGGTATTATATTATGTATTATCCGTCCGTTTTTTTTGTTTTCTTTTAGGTTTTTTTCATTGTTTTTTTTTCAAATGGTTTTTTTTCACATTTTAGGTTTTTTTTCAAGATTAGTCCCATTTGCATAATTTTTTATGTTTCCATGGACTAAAATTAGCCACTTAATGACAATTATTAAATGTAAATACAGTCTCGCGTTATGCACTCGCCACAACCACCGATTTGACCAATAAGGGCCGCGCTTGTTTTGATTTGGTCCTAAAAAAAGTAACTTTCTATAATATTTTAGATTCAGCGCTTGATTTTTCAAAAATCTACCAAAAGCACTTTTTTCATGATTTTTCAAATTTATGTAGAGAATGGACATTTTTTAAAAAAAAAAAAGAAATTAAAAAAATCGATTTTTTTTATTACGGTATTCGTTAGAGTTGAGCGTTGCACGTTTTTCATCTAAAAATCTCAAAACTATAAACTTCAAGCTTCAAATTGCTTTTTTTACGGCTCCAATACGACCATTTTTCGCAAAAAAAAAATGTATCCTTTTATTTTTTGTATTAGTGTAGAAGTTTTACATTGATATTGGTTTTTTAATGTACATTACATTACATTCCACGTGGAACCTACCAAATAATAAGAAATCAGATTTTTTAGGAAAAATGTAATATATTCTACATTTTACTCAAAATTTCATTTTGAAAAAAAAACAAAAAAAACGGTTTTTTCTAGTTTTTTTTCATGTTTTTTTTCACATCTGAAAAAAACCGTTTTTTACATCTACATTTATATATAATATTATGTTGCCATGAATTCGTAGATATATTTTGTCGTATAGTTGTCGGCGTTTTTTTAGAGGACTTAAATATAAAAATATTTGATTTTAAGGTTATGTTTATACAACAATTATTTTTTGTTAAATTTCTAAAAGTGTCCAAATTTAAATATAAATTATATTAGGTAAAGTCATAAGTTAATTCTGCACCAACAAATATACGTACCATATTGTATCCCTTGGCAAAACATGAAAATGCAACGATTTAGTTCTTGAATTTTATTTACAGTTAAAAACACAATAATTCACCATGATCACTTAGTTAAAATACATACACTAACGTAACTATATAAGCATATAAGCGTTAAGTTTCTCAAACAATGATATAATGAAATCGAGTACTAAACAAAAGTTTTTTAGTTTTTACTTGCAACGCAAAACCCAAATAACTTGCCCGAATTAGCTGTGCAATTTAACAAAATTTGTCGAGTAAAGCCTCATTCAGAACCTCGTAATTAGTTGGAAAAATTAGTGGTTTCAATTATACTTATAATTAACACAAAACGATCATCACAATGCGTAAAATTAACATCTAAAATTAAGGGAATTTGCTAAAAGATTGTCCATTTTTCTTAACCTGACATAAACAATATTAATTATATTAAAATAATATTTTGTACAACCATTACAATAATATTTATATAACCTTACCTTCACTGGCAAATCTTCAAACTTTTTGCTTTTGACATAAAATATCCGCGCACATGCGCAAAGCCGCTTTCCAATTATAATTAGCACTAGTGGTAAAAGTTAGAAGTTTGCAAACTTTTTCCACTAATTGAAAAGTGCTACCACTAATTATTTGGTTGTGAACAACACTGTGAATATTCATAAAACAAACTTTTACGTTAATTGAAACCACTAATTTATTCCACTAATTACGAGGTTCTGAATGAGGCTTAAGACTTCTGCCTTCCTCTCTTTTGTGAAATAACTACTTATTTATTTAAATACTATGAGCAGATGGCGCGCGCGTTGCGAAAACCGGATGCTTCTTTAGGCTATTTTAGAAGAAAAAAATTATACTATTTATTTTTTCTTTTTTTTTTAGAACGATCTGGAATTCAACCATATAGAGGCTCACCCAGATAGTCTAGCCAAAGTTACTTCAAAACTAGTAATAAATTATTTATTGCCACGTCACGAGGATATGTACAGGTTGGTATTTTTTTATTTTCATGATTTTTTTTTAAGTTAATTTAAATCAACTTATTTTGGTAATGGGTCATTCCACGTTACTCGGGGATTTTTGTCCCGCCCGTCACAATTAAAAATTGTGAGTAAAAACTACACGTTATAAAATTTATTTAAAAATATTGTTTTATTATGCTTTTAATAAGTTATAAGCACAATAAAAGTAATATTATAAAATATTAATTTTATAACTTGTGGTTTTTACTCACAATTTTTAATTGTGACGGGCGGGACAAAAATTACCGAGTAACGTGGAATGCCCCTATTGCAAATTTTCAGTTCTCTAACAATTGTGTTTTTTTTTCAGATGCGTAGCTACCAGTGGTAAAGAAGAAGCTTCAGCATTAACAAAAGTGATCGTGGAAAATACAATGAATCAACGTGACCTAAACTTCACTCAACTTTTGCAACACAAAATTTTGGGAGGTTTTCATCAACCCAAAATCACTTACTTCTACACCGTCAATTTGGATGCCATAAGTAAGTTTTTTTTGTAAAAGAGTGATAAAGAACAACAACCAAATTTTATTTGCAAAATCATTAAGATTAATATAATAAAAATATTGTTAATAATATTGAAGAACGATTAAAGAAATTAGTTACTTTTTACTCTTAGAAACAGTCAAAGATGGTGACTTATAATAATAATAATAATAATAATAATAATAATAATAATAATAATAATAATAATAATAATAATAATAATAATAATAATAATAATACTTTATTAATCCAACAGACAACAGTCCATATAAAGGATATAAATTACTTAGGTTACAGTGACAAATTACAGTTATAGGTTCATAAATTTAAAATAGCTAATTAGGACAAAAAAACCATAAATAAAACAACTTAGGATAATGAGCGAATAATTCGAACAAATGAATTTAAATTTTGGTTAAAAATATCACGACGTCAATGGAGCATATCTTAAATTAGTCAAACTTTAACTATTTATGTAGTAAAAAATAACTATTTAAAAGTGTAACAATTCAAATAGTAGAATTTTGACTATTTTATTTTAAGAGAGCACACAATCGATAGATTGAAACTGCTTTAAGTATGTCAACTAACTTATTTTTTCTTGCTTCAGGCTGGGACACGGTGTTGCCGTGCAGAACCGTGGGGAACCCCAAGCCGAGTTTGATGTGGTTGGACCCCTTAATGAACGAGGTGCCGCGTGACGAGAGTCAGCGCGTTCACGTGCTACGTAACGGAGATTTAAAAATCACGAACATCGAATGGAACGACATGGGAAATTACGTTTGCGTAGTCAAAAATAAACTGGGCGAGGATCGGATTGAGACGTTCGTCTATCCAATGGTCAGTACACCTTTATTAATAATAGTCATTAGGTATTTGATTTAAAGTAAAAACTCTTTTTTACATATTTTCTTTTGTTTTCAGGCAAGCACAAATTAACAAAGGTACACTCGAGGCTCACGTTTATTGAGAACAAAATTCTAGTCAAATTCTGTCTTATGTAAGGTTTTTTATTTATATTATTATTAGTATTTATTTTTTTATGTATGTAATAATAATTTATGTACTTACTTAATGTAAAAATTTAACGTTTTAAAGAATATAATAAATGTATTCTTTAAACATACAAAGTTGTTTTATTTCTTGACATTAACACTGATCCAGAATTTTCGGTAGATCTACCGTTTTCTGAAAAATTCTACCGATCTACCGATAGACATCAATATTCTACCGAAAATCTAAATCTTGCAATAATCCAAAAAAAAATAACTTTTTTTAGAATAAATTGCATAAAAATATTATTCTTAGACAACAGTATTATATATTTTTCACAAGTATGTGATTAAAAATGTTTTTACCGACATCATTTGTACAAAAGGCGTACTAAGACAGTATTAAAGATTTCTATTTTTGTGTTAAAAACTGTTTTTACCGACATTATTTGTCCAATAGTCATAGTACCACGGTATCGCAGATTTCCATGATAGAATAAACAGATTTCTATTCTTGCTTTTTGCTTTGTAGATTGGTAAAGTACAAAACATTAAACTTTGTGCAATATTTAACGGCGTTTGTTTTCTTGATTTATGAAAATTATTAATTTTTTTGTGTTTGTATTTTTTACAATTTTATTATTTCTCGCTTTATAATTGGATAGCGTTTATCGAAAAGGAACCAAGCGCGCCAAAAAATTTTCTGCAAAATAACTCATTTTTAATGCTGCTCAAAAAGTTAATAATAATTTGAGAAAAGTTCCAAATGATGATCAACCTTTTGAGCATTATTGAAAATGAGTTATTTTAAAGTTGTTGGCGCTTGGTTTCTTTTCGATAAGCGTTATTCAATTATTCAACTTATGTTAACATTATCATGTTATTGTTTTTATTAGTTTTTTTTTTATTTTTAATAAATATTTTCCTATTCCCAGTGTTTTTTTTACAAAAAATTACACATTAATTTAAATATACCGAAATTTTAATGTGACTACCGATAGTTATCAATAGTTTTTTTTTGTTTGTATATTTTTGGTACTAGTGTCCCAGACAGCAATATAATAATAATAATAATAATAATAATTTATTGCTTGCTAGTAATACAACTGTATTTTACAAATGTCAAATAGGTATTCATATATTACAATATTAGATAACTAAATAAATATAAGTATTAAACAAATAAGTTTGAGACTACATAACATTTTCAAAATTACAATTCAGGAATTCACTAATGCTATAAAAGGCCCCATTCATGAGGTCTTAATTAAGTCTGCATAAGCTCTATTTTATGATTTGGACGTCAAATATTTACAACACCAGAAAGAAGTTCTTAAGACTTCGAATGCGCCACTTATTGAACTAATCAAGACTTCTCAAAAAAGAACTCTTGAGGAACCCTTTTCTTTGACTTCGCATTTAAGCATTTTAAAGAGTCCTACTGTATAAACTTATAAAAAGACTTCTTTAGAATTTCCTGTTTTGGATATAGAAGTACCACTAGGGTACTGATGAAAAAATTACATACTGGATCGTTGCTTATTTTGACATGTCAAGTTTAATTACCATAGAACAGACGAATTTGTTAAATTGATTTTATTAAAATCATTTTAATAATTTGCTCGTATTCGCTTATTTTTGGAATTGCGATTACTTTGTCTCACTTTTGTTTAAATTCAAGCGTGATCTTCACCGGCACCGATAGCTCGTCAGTATCAGGTAGCCGATTACCTAGGTCTAAGACCGTTTGGTATGGAGCACGCTCTAAATTCTACTTCGCCGCTTCTTATATCAAACACAAGCAGTTACAGCGGTGAGAAAAAAGTAATCGCATTAAAATGTCATAAATGTGACGTCTTCATGTTGACGTCTAAAGAGTTAATAATATGATTTCAGTAAGAAGTAAGAAAAGAGAATAGGTACTGTAAGATATCATATAACTGAAGTCTTATTTATGATACCCTTAGTAGCTTCCAATTTTGATTTCAATAAGAGGTCAGAAAAAAAGATACCCAGATAACATTTATGAATCATTAAAAAATCACTCAGTGACAATCATCGCGTGAGCTCACAGTGAACTCACTATGACATCAAATGCATTTCTGTGAATTTACCTGTACCTCACCTGGAGCTCATTAGCTGAATCATTGCTGAGCTCATCCTGAGTTCTTGATGAGATCATTTGTGAAATTAATTCACAGAACTGCATTTGATGTCATAGTGCCATAATTTAAATTTATAACCTTAAGGTTTTTCTCTGAACTATGCAAGTGCATAACAGTGTTGCCATGGTATCAGAGCTGTGCGGTACTCGAGTACTCGGTACTCATTCCAGAGTACATTTCAAAAAAAGTTCTTGTACTTGTACTTATTAAAATGAAAAATTTAAAAACGGACACGAGTACATTTTTTGTGTTCGAGTACATTTTTTGTACTCGAGTACATTTTTTGTACTCACTACTACATATTCAAATTTATCGCTATAATTATAATGCTTTAGCAGCTAAAGTTTAACGGTTCGGCAATATTCGGAATAAATCCTCGATATGGGCAAGTTGGTAAAATATCATTGTGGTGCCCTATTTTATAGAGATATTACATATTACAAGAGGTAGTGCCCTTTTTTATCTCTGGTAGTGCTGTCATAATGTCGTATGTAACGGTTTTATTTAATAAATTTGAGATTATTCTGCAATACAGAATGTGCATTAGTATTATTTTAAGTGTTTTGGTTTTTGTTATACTGGGGTAAGTAGGATTTTAAATATTATTTTATATTTGATTACCTACTCGATTATGTTTTTGTTATATAAATATTTGGTACCTACGCTTAAAAAGTTAGGTTATATTTTTGCATTCAATCTTTTTTCAGTCATAAATGCATGTTACTTTAATTTAATTTCGTGCTTGCAGTTAAATAATGTTTAGGCTATTTATTAAATAAAATATATAATAAATTACTTGCATGAATAGGTATACCTATAGGTATATACATACCTATAGGTAATAAAGGTTATGTAAAAGAATAGTTAATCTATTTTAATATTATTTTTTCCTGTTTAAAATCGAAATAATTGGTTATTTGGAAAAAAAATATTCAAAACATAAATAAATACGTGTATTAAATAAATATAAAAATGCAGTTTTTTTTAAATATCCCTAAGTGATCTAAACCTGATATTTTGTCATGTTTAACTTTTAACAACTTTTTTTGCTAGATACTGAAACCTAAATTACATTTTAAGAGTTTTTGGAAAAAGTACTTTTTACTTGTACTCGTGAATACTTTTGGATTTTTTTGTACTCAAGTACATTTTTTTCAAATTACTTGTACTTTTACTCGAATACTTTTTTCTTGTACAGCTCTGCATAGTATATACCATAAGTTTTGCCAAGTTTTGGGAATGGATTTATCTTACCAAGGCTTAAAAATTATCGTATTTTTAAATATATTTTTATAATTAATTTATAAATTATACTTAGCACGTGCTAGGTACATATATACATGTATAAAAATTAATAATCAGATGCAAGTTACTTTTTTAAATTTTATTAAAAACATGTTTTAAATATTTTTTATTTTATTTAAGAAAATAAATATTTATTTTAATTAATTTTAGCATTTTTAGTCCCTTAAGTAAAATCATTAATGACATCCCTTTGATTTCATAATGAATTCATCGTGTGACCCATTAAGGATCTCACGTTGCTCATCAGAAGTGCAACACTTATGCGTGCCACAGTGACATCACTAAATGAATCAGCAATGATTTCACGTTGATGTCACAACGAATTCATCGTGTGACTCATTAAGGATATCATGTTGCTCATCAAAAGGGGAACACATATGCGTACCTCAGTGACATCACTGAATGAATCAGCAATGATTTCACGTTGATGTCTTAAATGATGTCATAATTGATATCTGGATACTTTAAGATGTTAAAAAATTGACTTCTCATTTATGAATTCATCAAGAACTCTTAATCTTAAGCTCCTAAAAATGATTTCTCTAAGATGTCATATTGGGACCTCGGTAAGATGTTTTTCAACAGACTTCGTACAGAAATCTTTCTGAATTGGATGCTGTCTGGGGTATGTTTTGTACCGATTTATATTACGTTTGCTGTCCTGTAGGAATTCTATTTTTTTTTCTTTGCCTGTTTGGTTTTTCTGGTTTAGATGCGTTAAAGATGCTTAACGTCTTCGAGAAAATTCAAGCAATTTTCTTAGTCCAGGTGCAATTACCTTCACAATTTAAATAAAGGCACAAAAAACTAGAATTTATTATGCAACACACAATTAATTGTGTTCTAAATGATATTTAGACATACATTTACAAATACAATACAAATTTTGAAACGAATGTCAAACGATGCTGTCAATTTCTTTTTACGCAGACCTGTCACTTTCCACACAGAAATGTCACTTTACATTCCTGTTTTGCCTTGCCAATGAAAAGATTAATTTTCTAAGCAACGATGCCAATACAAAATGTGACTTTTACGTAGTGATCGTAGAAAAAATTCATTACTTCGCAATTTTTCCATGATTTTTATCAACATTAGCTTGCTTTATTTATTTTATATATTTATTTTTTATTTTATTATTTTTAATGTGCTTTCAACAGGCACCAGGCCCAATTACAGAAGTACACAATGACAAACACAAATAAACAACCATACCCCTGGTGGGATTCGAACCCACGACCTCTCGGCTTGTAGTCCGCAGTGCTAACTACTACACCACCGAGGGCGGTTTTTTCAAAAATGTCAGCTTGTCGAAAAAAAATTCAAACTGGAGTTATCTGTTTGATTTAAACCTTTCCCAGGACGATATGTAAATTTTCGACCTCAATTTTTGCCATAAAAACGAGTTTTTTAAGTTATTAAAATCGCTAGCGTTAAAATACTTATCCGATATCAAAAGTCTGTAAAATAAAGTTTTAGAGGGCTCAAATACCTTCAATTTAAGGGCTTGTTTGACCAAATCGATCAATTATATTTCAAGCTATACTGAAAAACGTAAAAAAATTGAAAAAAACAATTGAAAATTCA